AAAAGAACTTATTTGAAAGAGAGTTTGCATGTCAATAAACACGCAGATTTAGTTAGGGTTGAAAAACAAATCAAATTACTTGATATTCAAATCAAGTTCAGCTCACTTAAGAGCACGTTTGAGTTTTGATTCTCCAACTAATCGAATCAATGTTTGAACAACATTTTATGTTCCGTAAGCTTCCAAATTCCATTCAAACTTAATCTGATTAATAAAACTGAGTTTTGCAAAAGGTACAAGGTACTCGAACTTGACTCGATAAAAGCTCATTTGCTCTTGACTTGTTAATAATCAAACTAAATTTGAACAGAATTTCAAACTCGTCAAAATAATCAAATAAATTTGAACCCTAGAGTGCTCGGTTTGATTAGATTCGCTTACACCCCTATATTCAAGCTTATTACTTGGCTTCACTTCGAGTATCCCAAGTTTAAAGGTTAAATCTTTTCCTTCTCTAAAACATTGTGTTCCAATTGTTATCATAATGTATAATTAATTATATGAGAACATTATCTCTGTTGGGACAATATTTATCACTTATAAAGCGGTAGCTAAAAATTTATAGGCTAGAAGGACTGATCAATCATCGGTAAGTAAGAATTTATTTGTATGTTAGTTGAAAATTGATGACGAGTTAGTGTGATATTAATATCTAGACACGGTGATATTGATAATGTAATCGGCAAATAAAACTTATTGGCAGCATCCATTTAAGGCCAATCAATAATCGACATGACGGTTTATATCCACACATTTGTTGGCATGCACAAACATCTGCCAATATATGTAGATATGAAAGGGGAAAGGAAGCCGATTATGTTGTTAGCTAATTTATTACTCCCTCTGTCCCACTTTGATAGTACTGTTTCTTTTTTCACAAAGTTTAAGAAAAAGTAGTTAACTTTGTTGGAAAAGTAAATTTAGATTACTATTTTCCTAAAATACCCTCATATAGTCATATTAAATATGGTACAACTTTATGGGAACTTGAATTGATGGTAAAAAAAGAATCAACTCTCATTAAATGGGGTAGGTTTATAGTAACAACTACTTGCATTGAATAAGGGTATTTTAGGAAAATTAAAATACAACTACATTCTTCAATTGGAAAGTGGACTACAATTTGGGACAGATGAAAAAGGAATACAGGACTATCAAAATGGGACGGAGGGAGTAGAAGACAAGCATTAGATCATGGTCCTAAAAGTCAAAGACGTGGGAGTTATAAATTCCTAAAGGTAAGGAAGTGGGTAATTCCCACTACTCGTATTTCAACTGATATGATGGCTAGTGTGACAGGAGTTTATCTTAGAGGTGGACTACTAAATGAGCAATGAACCCACGAAGTGAGGAAGTGGATCACCAAATCAGTCATGAAGTCATAAGATGGGGAAATGGGTTTATCAGTAAATACCATCACAAATAAAAGAGCATACTACTATATATACTTGGAGATTGCATCAGAACATTCGCCAAGTGTCCGGTCCGAGTTACTCTAAAAAATCGGGTGTATAAAAACTCGGTCAAAAATCGAGTTTGACCGGCAAACTGGATGAACCGGTTTGATGTCAAGCTTTTTTTTTTTTTGAAAAGGTCAAAGCATTTTCAATATTATGTTTTGGCTCCTAGGTTTAATATATCTCAAATATTTCTTATTTTATAAATATTGTCCTAAAGTTTGGTGTTATTTTTCAATCAAATGCATAATTTTAATTCTAGACTTATTAATGTTCATTTAATAATATAAATTGTTACTTGATCAATCTAATTTCTTTGTATTTTCTTATTAAATTTATTTGAAACATCAAATATATATAAATATACATTTATTAATATTAACATGCTTTTAAGTATTTTACATACAATATTTTAATTCTTAAATAATTTTTATTTATGACGTCATCCGGTTCAACTCCGATCGAATTCGGTCGAACCCATTGACCCCTGAGCCCTGAGCCCAACTGAGTCGATGCTCGGTCCGAGTCTGAAAACATAGCTTGGCATTATGGTAAGTTGATGTCAAATCTTCATGTGGTATTATTACTATAATAGTTTTCATCCTTCCACCCTTCATTAGTCAAAAAAATCTTCAGAAATATGTTCTTAATCAATTTCTTCCACCATAGAAGAACTCGCCCTCATGTTGTTTTGCAGAGTTGTATAGAGAGGTTTCTCAGATGGATGATAAAGGAAAAGATCCGCAACATTGAACGTACATGAGATGCCTCATGATTCCAACAAATCAATAACATAAACATTTGGATTAATCCTTTGTAAAATCTTGTAAAGACCATATTTGCATGGTTGCAACTTATGATATTGACAAACTGGAAACCACTCTTTACGCAGGAAAATCATCACCTCATTGCCAACTTTGAATTCTGCAGCTCGACTATGTTTATCTGTAGCAGCTTTAATTTTTGCATTGGTGGATTCCAACTTTTGCTTGATTTCCTCCCATATAGCTTGCATATCATTCACCATATTTTCTGCCGCAGCGCTATATCTTGGAATGTTAGAAAGTTTCACCAAATCAATTGCATGTCTAGGAGCTTCACGTACACAATAGAGAATGACGATCTCTCAATTGAGATATGAACTGCATTATTAAATGCAAACTTAGCTTGAGGAAGTGCATGTTCCCACTGTCATAACATTCTCCACAAATGCATCTCACCAAGTTGCTAAGAGTATGGTTGTCTATCTTTGTCTAACCATCTATTTAAGGGTGAGCCATACTACTGAAATCCAACGAAGTGCCAAACATTCTTCATAAGGTTAGCCAAAAGTGGCTCAAGAACTTGGCGTCTTTCTCAGGAGTGATAGATTTTAACACTACATGCAAATGAACTATCTCTCGAAAGAATAGTCGAGCAATGTGAGAGGCATCTGAAATCTTTCGACATGAAATAAAGTGCACCATCTTGAAAAATCCGTCAACAATCACAAACACAGAATCTACGCCCTGTTGAGTTCTAGGTAGTCCAAGCACAAAATCCATTGATACGTCTTCCCAAATAACTTCAGGGACAAGCAATGGAGTATACAACCCTGTGTTTTGAGGTTGTCTCTTTGCTGTTTGACAAGTGTAGCATTTGCGTATAGAGTTTCCTACATCATGCTTCAATTGAGGTTAGAAATATCTCTCTTAGAAAGTTGAAGTAGTCATATTAATGCCCAAGTGTCCACTTAGACCGCCTCTACGCAAATCACGAATCAATTGCTCACGCAAGAAAATACAAGGAATGTATACATGATTACCTTTGAAAAGATAACGTTATTATTTGAAAAAGGTGTATTATTTGAGAGATTATTTGAAATAATTACTGTAACACTTAATTATGATATGATGTATGTGAGATAAAAAATAGTTGAGAATATAAAAAGATGAATTGAGAAATGTATTTATGATGCAAGTAAAATATTATTTGGAATAATTTGGCAATCCAAACACACTCAACGATCGAATATATGAAAATCATCCTGTGTCGCCTTAGTCTTGCATGCAAACAACAATTCCTTGAAATCATCATTATCCGTGTAGTCTTCTTTCAATGCGTCATATCCTATAATTTTATTGTTCATAGTTACAAGCAAAGTAGCACGTCTGATCAAAGCATTAGCCACCTTATTCTACTGCCCGGCTTTGTACTTTAGAATGAATAGAAACTGCATGTTAAAGATAAACATTCCACAAGGCATGTATCTTACTCACATGCTTTTGACTGTTGATCAGTTGATGTGCTTTAAGGTTTGGATGGAAAATAGGCCAAATTGTTACATGAACAATTTAAAGAAATAATCAAGAGTGTTTCATGAACAACCCTAAACAAGATTCAAAGAACCCTGAGAGATCGTGAGAAAACTCACAAAGAACTTGATAAAAAACCAAAGAAATTTTTATTTTATTTTATTTTTTTATAATTGAAGTGTGTTTCAATGCCTAATACAATGGCTTATCTATAGGCTTGACTACTAGAGAACTAAAAGGAATGTCTTGTTAATCAAGACAATCAATTAAACTTTGTCTTGCTAATCAAGACAATCAATCATGGCCAATCAATTATTCTAATTATATCAATAATTTATTCTAATAAAATCATATCAAAATAAAATAAAATTCTATCAAATCTCATCATATCTTGGGATTATGGTAAGATGTCAAATTTTCATGTGGCATTATTGCCATAATAGCCTTCTTCCTTCCATCCTTCATGCGATCCATTTTGGTTAAAAAAAAAAAAAAAATCTTCTGAATTATGTTCTGCATCACAGCAACATATACATCTGCCATCACAGCATCTCTGTTGTCAATGATACCATCAGCCAACTTTATTACATCCAAAATTACCAAATTGTGCACGTAGCAAAAGAGAGAGAATCGTATTGTTGCTCAATGAATTGTGAACCACGCTTTTCTTTTTAGTAAACTGGGCATGTGTGTATCAACGATTGTTAGATTGGAAATTTGTTCCCTAGAGTACTTTCGTTTTGACACGTAAAAAAGAAATTATTTTCAAAACTTTAATATAATAGTCCAAATTGATTAAAATCAATTCGAATTGTTCTTTCTCATATGTGTCCTAGGTACTATAAGTTTGATGGATCAGAGACAAATACAGTTGAAAATTTCGTATAATTGTACGATTATTGTACTTTTTACACTATATATAACTTTATTTTAATAATAAATTTTATTCGAGCACATTATATCAATGCATAAAATACACCATCTTTATAAGCGTACACCCACATTAGACATGCAGTACACTAATCGCCCTTAATCGGACCTAAATTAGTGGCATCTACACCATTCCCAATTTTGACATGTATAAAAGAAAATCTATTTATATTTTTTCAAACTGAGTGTATTCATCTAAACCAACGATATCAGCTTAGACGTCATGGATCGCGACCCAGTTCTGCCTACCCAGCCATACACGCATTGGACACATTGTGACACGTGGCCGGCCACATGCCCCGTTCGTGAATATGAAGGGTCCGAGGCTAATATTCCCTAAACGGAACATCATATATTCTTGGAGGATGATGACAGAGAAATCGCTCCATCTCCTCTTCTGCTTAGTTTTCTCTAGAAAAGAAGCAGACATAGACTCCCAATCCCGCAACCCAATTCTTTGAATATATTGTGCATGATTGTTCCTTTTGCCTTTATTTCTTGGTGGTTTATTTTTGTTTAGTTGAGGGAGATGGGAAGGAATCAAGAAAGCAAAGCAGGGGTGTTCTTCATGGCGACTTTAGTGATGTGGGCTGTCTCAGTTCTCTTTGAAATCGGGTTCAATAAGCGCTCTGAGCTGCTTCCAATCATTGGGGGCTTCTTGTTTTACCAATCTGCCAACTGGGTCATTCGCAATTACCTCTCTCGTGATCCTCTCTTTGTTAACACCTGTGTTTCTCTGCTCCATTCCTCCATTACCTCTGCTACAGGTCCCTTCTTTATTCTCTGCCTATTTTGAAGAGCTTTTACCCAACACTGTTTTTTGTTTGGCTCAATTTCTGCTGAATCCCCGTGGGTTGTTTTGCATTTCAATCAGTACTGTGTTGTTTGCTCTTTGTAGAATGTAAGGTGTATATCAGTGTTTATATGCCCCGTATCAGTGTTTATCTGCCATAATTCAGTTGATTGAAATAACTAATTGGGAATATTTGTGAAAGAGGCAAGCTTAGCTTCTTGATTCATAGAGAAGTCGCAATTTTAGACTATTTATAATACAGGCTATATCTACGGATTTTTGTAATAATTACAAAACATTTGTGGTCGTTTATTAGTACATTTAGACGAGACCAAGAGTCTTCTTTTCTAATTTTTCCAATGTACTTTTTTGGTGGAAATGTCACTGATTATTAACTAGTTCGTTTATGCTAGCGAGTTATGATGCAAAACGTTTTGCATATGAGTAGAGTTTGATGATTGTGGTGGCAATAAATGCAGTTAGTTGAAGCACAGAGTTATTAGCTTGTTTGACTAAGATAGAGGGAGATAAGAATGAGAATGTAACAAAGATTGTTAGCTTCTTGTTGCTTTCAGGCAATGGAGTTCAAATTCCAGCGTTCTATTTAAGTGACTGAGGCTAGTGAATCTTGTTTCTGAGGTCAAATGACTATGATATTGAGTATGTAACCTTGGGGTTGGTGATTATATATGAAACTTATATTCATTGTACCTTTAACTGATTTACGTATTAGTAAACAGGTTTAAACTGAATATGAAAATAAGTGGGCCTAATTATCATGGTTGGTGTTCTAGGAACCTCACTTGACAATGAAGGATCTGAATTTAGTGTCTAGCTCATTTTAGACTTGTTAATTTGTTCTATTGGTGCATGCAGGTTTGGTTCTGTTCTTCTTAAACTTGGATCGTTGTTGGTCTCTATTAATGATTTTTCTATTACGTCTTAATTTACTAGGTCAAGGTCAAAAGTCAAACTGACTGGATGTTTGATAACTACATTCAGCTGTACAAAGCTTAGTCACATGTCTGTAACCTCAATAGAAGTTGCGAAACAAAAAATCTACTCCCCAAAAACTACAAAAATGTTATGGACAAAAATTTTTATTCTTTTTATTCTTTCTCCATTGGGTGACTTTTTATGAGTTGTATTCCCAGATCCTGCTGTTATTCTCTCCTCCACAACCAACCCTCGCTGCTCTCTCTGTATGCCAGTCTTATGCTTACCTTCTATTTGTCATCTCGGCATTGCAAAACTTGCTGCTGTAATATTCTATGACAAGTGGGAAGCCACAGAAAATGAGGAATCAAGATGTTATCATTTTACACTTCCACAAAGGCTATATTATAACGGTCCCATTCTGCAAATTTGGTCCTTTCTTTACAATTTTCCACTTTGTGCAACCTAGTTCACTTGCTCAATTACCGAGATACTCTACAAATGTGCGATGGGGCATATGTTAGTCTGAGTACAAAGTTGAATTCTTGATTGTTTGTAATAATATAAATTAGATTGCAAACAGTTGTCAAAGTTTAGATCATCAAACAGATTTTACCTTCTTTTAGATTAATGAATAATTTCTCAAACAGAACACAAGGTATAGAAATCTCTAGATTGTCTTCTTAGTGCAATTTTACACTTAACAGTCTTCTGCTCTATTGTAGCTTTGTTAAAAATGGAAATGCAATATGTTTCTCCTTCTTCCCTGGTTCTCCACCTTGCCAATCACTGCATAATACCATATATAAATACACAATTAAACAATGGAAAACCTCGTTGATCCACTTCCAACTTGGAAATGTATATGGCTGATATTCAAGACTAAGGAATGTTCTTCCTGGACTGGCTTACACGTCTGAAAGTTTGGAATAAATGAGCATACGTTCAATTTTCTTCCAAGATTCAAAAGGGATAGGTCATGGACCGTTTCTTGATGATACAAGAATGGTTACTGTTAATTATTTTCCATATTTTACTAATTAAGTTGAAGCTTCTTGGAGCTTTGCTACAACTTTTATCATGACTTACTACAATTGAAAATCCAGAGCATATGTGTTTTCAGTAGATGGTTTGATTTTGCTGTAGTGTATATCATGAAACTAGGTTGTTGACATGCTTTGCTGCCACACTGCATTTTGTGTCTTTGGAAATTAACAAGAAGGCTCTTTGTATGCTGTACAATAGACATTATAGGGGAGCCACCTAAGTAATTTACATTAGTAGTTTAAGATTATACAAATGTATAAAATTTTAGGATATTATTAAGTTGACCATTCTTGATGTGACACTAGCAGGTAGAATACATGGAAACCCCAAGGTATGCCTAAAATTGTTAATCACTATGGCCTTTTACATAGGATTTCTTGAGTTGGTCAACTTTATTTTCAGACTCATTTATGTTGGTCATCTTTCAAGGTCATTTATTAGCAGTTGGTGGAGAGAATGAGGAGGAGGAGGAGGAGGAAGAAGGGAGAGTTTAGAAATGGAATTATAGAAGCAAAACTTAGAATCAGTAATAAAACTGATTTTTTGCCTTAGTTTGATGGTCTTCCAGATATAATAGTTGGAGCAAAATTTTCAAATATTATTGAAAGGCTTATGCTTTAGGATTAATACTTTCTAAATTTTGGCGTTATCATTGCCAGTATCAAAGGTCAAAAAGTATGATATGCTTGACTGATGACAGCATTCAACTCTATAACTGGAAATTTTTAAGTGTCTTTTCTTACCAGAAACAATTCATGGAAAGGGTTTGTGTAGTGTCATTGTTTAACGGTTTACTATAATCATCAATTAAACAAGTATATATGCTCAATATGTCAAGGACAAAACAGACAGTTCCAATGGTATATTTCCAAGGTAACTACCCACTTACTTGTGAATATTTAGCACACTCGTGGACTGTAAAAGATGTCTCTTCCAAGAACTGGAGCAATTGCTACAGAAGTCTTTCACTTTGTGCTGAAGTCTGAACTGGCTATATGTTGTTTCACATTTTTCTTCTTAATTGGCTAATGTGCCCTATAGCGTCTCAATCATGTTGCCAATTCCACCTTTTCCCCTTTAGACTCATCTCCCATCCCATTCCTGCAGCCCTGCCGGCATTCTCCTCTATTCAAATTGAATGATGTATCTAAGTTCAGCTATGTTGATATATGTTTTTTTACATGATTGAGTGGGCTTATTTTATCTTTGATCCTTTCTGATATAGAATGGTGTGTCATCCATCTGCAGTGGTCATTATCATAATCAATCGGTGGATGACAAGTAGTACAAAAGACATGTTTGAGCATTCGCAGTTGGTTGAGACTACTTGGCCTGGAGCATATGCAGCTTTGTGCATCTCAAGTGGTTACTTTGCTTATGATCAGGGGGATATGTTACTTTATCATCTATACAGTGGTCCAATCCCTTCTATCTTATCTCATCATCTTATACTCCTTATTTGCTTTATTCTTGCCCTATATCGGAATGTTACAATCAACTATCTCATTCTCACCTTGATTTGTGAGGTAAAATTCTATATTGTCATGGGTTCATCCATGCTGAGCATTTTTTTTAATCCTTCCTTTAAATTTCAGCATTTTTTTTTACCTTTCTGAAGTATTCTTCAATAAAATTTAGTTAAGCCAGGGCTTGTGGTTAAGCCATTTTACTCCATGTGGAGCTTCAAGTAGTCATTTTGTTTATGGAGTAAAATGGGACAACAAATTGCAGGACTATCACAAAAGAATGGTGTTTCAAAGTATAGTTTGGCTAAATTGGTGGTTTGTCTTCTTGGATTTGTCATCACTGATTATTAAGATTAAAAAAATAATAATAAAAATAAAAACAAGAGAATTTGAGCTAAACACGGGCAAGTTTGGTAGGGATTTTTATTGAAGATATCGGAGGCCAATATGAAATTTTGTTGCTGGATCCCCTATCCCCATTGCTTTTATGTTCCCCCCTCCAAATATTTTGATAGTTTAGATGAACAGTTTTTTATTTTTCTTGAACAGTGTCATTCAAGTTCTTATTTTTCATATTTTAGTTTTTGAGGGTGAGTATCACTCAAGTTTACAGTAATTTCCATATACTTGTCCTTGCACAATCATTAAGTGTTGTGGCAGAATTATCTAATTGTCATTGCCTGGCTTCTGCAGTTAATAGTGAAGTGTCAAGAGTTGTTAGATTGTGAGACAGTAAAATTAATTTCTCATTCAGATTAGAAGTCATACAACTAAATAACTTTTTTAATGGAAGGAGTGCCATGGATTTAACTGGACCTTCTTGGGATGTAAAGGGGGGAAAACGTCAAATTCAGCGCTGTAGCATCGAGGATTAGTTTTAGCATTGATATATGTTTTCTCTGTTCATTTTTCTTCTTCCTTTTCTTATATTCCTCTCTTTTTATTTCTCTTTCTACATGAGAGGGGTGAGGGGAAGAGTTGAAGCTTCTTTCTTTCATTTTTTTAGTTCCTGATCATTCATTTATTCCTGTATCATACGTTTATCTTGCCTTTACTCAACTCTTTCATAAATGATTGCTCGTCTAATGCAGCTGCATTCAGTAATTTTGCACATGCGAAAGGTGCGGCGGATGACTGGTGTTCGTGATGCCCGTATCAAAGTTGTGAAAATAGAATGGGTTGTCAACCTGATTACCTTTGTTTTAGCAAGATTTTCGTCTCATGTTCTAATCACTGTGAAGCTAATAAGAGATGCTTCCAAGTTTGGCAAAGGTGTGGAACTTCCGCTTGCACTCTTCGGAATGGCTGGAATGAACTTGCTTAATGTATTTTTGGGCATTGATCTGTTTAAAGCATATCAAAGAGAGAGGAGAACTCGAAATCTATCTTCAAAATCATCATGAATGACTGACTTGAAGGCCAAAAGTTGCTGTTCTTGTTAACCAAATTACAGGTTAATTATTCTTTCTTTCTTTTTGTCTTGGCAAATGGGGTTTTGGGGTGGGATGGTTATATCTTATTGTAGGATTCATTAGTACGTACAATTGTACATGGCATGTTTTGTATACATACACATGAGAGGAAAAAAGCAGGGGAATTTTCGTTAAGAAACAGGTGAAGTGATGGTATCCAGTTGCTTTCAGTGGGATGCACTTTCATACATATTGCCCTTTGTTCTGCTTAACTACGAGTATTTGCCAAGAGCTGCTAAAAATAAGAACATAAAAATCTGATATAAAGCAAAAAATCTGTTTAAGGTGGACCTGTTTAATGATTACTGGCTTGGGTTGATCCCATCTTTAGTATGCCATCTACATTCTGATTTGCCAGCAGTGGACAAGTATGAAGGGTGGATGACCAAAATCAAAGTAAAAATGGTGAAGTGGTCAAAATTTTTATAGGTTGGCTAAAGCCTAAAACCAGGTTGCCATGCATAATTTAATTTTCTTGTCTTCCTAACATCAAAATTATCTCTAATTAAGGTTGCTTATGAGGCTTGATGGTCATTTCACCCCTGCAGCTGCAAAATCGCAGAAAATTTGCAATTTAGACAGCTTATGATTGTTAAAGTTAAAGGAGTATAACCATTGCACAAACACCAAATGTCGAAAGTCAACAATTGAAGAGAATCTTGAACTGAAATGCGAAAATGGACATCAGAAAAGTTGAGATAATAAGATGGTTAAGCTTGCTGGCCTTTGTGCATTATTCTGCAGTTACAAATAGAGTTTTTAACGAGCCGAATACTTAGTGTTCAGGTTCTATTTGTATATTATAAGTGTTCAGGTTCTATTTGTATATTATATGAACAGGGTTTGAATTCGATTTGAATATTAACGAATTATAAATATTGTTTGAATTCGATTCGTTTATTTGTATGAATATTCGAGTTCTAATTCAAGTTCGGCTCGTTAAACTATACGAGCCGAATTCTAATTTGATTTTGAAGATGATCTAATTATAGTTTTAATAAATAATACATTATTAAGAATAAGTTTAATAGTATTTATTGATTTTTTTTAAAAAATAAATAATGCTAATTTATGTCTAATTACTTTTTTAGTAAAATATAATATATATATATATATTAAATACTATTAAATGTATTTATTTTTATAATTATATATGTGTTCACGAACTATTCAAATAATTCGCGAACAAGTTTGTGTTCAGTTTGATTATTAAACGATTTTAATATTGTGCTCAAACTCGATTCGTTTATTAAACGATTGAGTATTTTTCGAACGATTTTAATATTGTGCTCAAACTCGATTTGTTTAAACGATTAGATATTTTTTGAACTTGAACAAGTCGAACACGAATATGTTCACAAACAGTTCGGTTTGTTAAAAGTTTTGGTTGCAAGCATGAATTTGTTTAAGCCCTTTTCTATATATTATTAAAGTACGCTAACCAAAACAAGTTGGGGTGGTGGCGCAGTTGGCTAGCGCGTAGGTCTCATAGCTTCTGAGTAATCCTGAGGTCGAGAGTTCGAGCCTCTCTCACCCCATTTCTTTTGTTTTGCCCTAACATTCAATATATTACTAAAGTTCGCACACCATAACAAGTTGGGGTGGTGGCGCAGTTCGCTAGCGCGTAGGTCTCATAGCTTCTGAGTAATCCTGAGGTCTAGAGTTCGAGCCTCTCTCACCCCATTTCTTTCCTTTTGCACTAACATTCGGTATCAACCACATTGTTACAAATCTTTATTATGGTATTTAGGGTTAAATGCAAAAAATCCCCACAAACTATATACCCAGTTGCAGTTTACCTTCTAAACTATAATAATAGGCATTTTGCCCCCTTGAATGATATGTTTGGACAATACTACTCCTACTATCTTAAATCCTTTTTTTTTTTTTTCTCTATTAGCTTTTTTCATTTTTTTTCCTTTTATTTTCTTTTTGTTCTCCTTCTCTCTTGGAACTAGCCAACATCTCTCTCTGATGTGAAAAGATTTACATCAAAAATTTTAATATTTTTTAAACTGCTTTTTTAATTTATTTATTTGTTAAATTCATTCTTAATAATTTGTCATAAACTCTTTGTTATTACAAAATATATGTAGCTTATGTTGTAAAGTGTATTAATCTAGTAATTCAACAATTTAAGTAGCTATAAACTAATTAAGAGTTCACAGTTACTCAACTACTTATAATAAAAATAACATATTATATATCACATAAAAAAGAAAAGTTAGCAATTGTTATTTGTAGTGAAATAAAAAATAAGAATAAACAACAATAGTAGTTCATCTTTTTTGTTATTCATACTACTAATAATTGATTAATCAATTTCTCTATTTTGTTATTATATATTTGAAAAGTTCAATTTCTTAAATGACATTGACTTCAACATTTGGAAAAAAAATCTTGTATTCCATAGATTTTTTTTTATAAAATATTGACATACGAAATTAAGAAATAAACAAATTTTGACTAATCTAGTCTACTTATTTAAACAATGTTTAAAGAAAAAAAAAGAAAGAATTTAAAAAGAAAATGATAGGGAAAAAGAAAAATAACAATGCTTAAAATAAAAGGGGTAGATTTGTCCAAATATATCATTCAATGGGGGCAAAATGCCTATTATTATAGTTTGGGGGTAAACTGCAACTCGGTATATAGTTTGTGGGGGGTTTTTTGCATTTAACCCTGGTATTTATGATAAGAAATGCCATACGGAAAATAGTACTGATTTTCTTAAATTGCATAATCTGTAGTCAAGGAAACACCAATTAGAAAGTATTTCTTATTTGGGAGAAGTAGTATTAGTATACCATAAAGAGAAATAGAGAAAGAATTTATTCTAGAATTTAGAAGATTTTGTGGGCTTTTTTTTCCTTTGTCAAAAAATCATACAGCTAAGAACTCAAAAAAAAAAAATCATACAGCTAATATCAAGTTAAAGTGGTTGACATTTCAAGAATTCAATTGATTAGTCCAGCAAACAACAAAAACAGAAGGCCAATTATACAACTATAAGAAAATATTCATGCTACAAATATTTGGTTTGTAAAGCATTCCTTGATATATACCTTTTTGATAAATAATACTATAACACATTTTTCCCGTTCGGAATATGAAACAAACAAGAACCTAATCATGTGCTTTTTTAATGCTTAAGTAGATCGAATTATAGAATAGAAAAAGATATTGATCAACCTTCCTCTTTTTTTTTTAACAAGAGAGTGGTGGGATTTAAACGATGAAGAAAAAGGAAAGTTTGGATTCAAAATCTTTAGTTTATAAAACGTTAATTTTAACTACTAGATCAAGATATTTTCAACGAATTTTTTATAAAGTTACAATCAAGAAGAATATAATGTGAATATATTATTTTAAAAATAGTTCTTACGAGTTCCTCATTATGACACAATTGAACCTCCAAGTTCAATTACCCCTAAATTAACCAAAAGCAAATTAAAAAAAAAAACTACATAAAATTAAGTGGTATCCATTGAAGAATTTGTGTTTATTCAGCTTAGGCAAATAATGCTGAACAGCAAATTTTTGCTCAACTTGAAGATCAATATAAAGACCAAAACAAAGATCAAGCAGAACAGATAAAGAAACAAATGTGAATGATCATAAACCAAGAGCAAGTTGAATGCTTCATCACCAAGCCAGTTAGATGCCAATTAAACAGCATTTAATCGGCTATCCTTCTAAACAAAGAAACCTACATACGCCTCTAAATGGCAAAATTCTTCCCTCCCTAAGTTCTTCTTGTATCTATCCTTGATGATTTTCAAGTTGTATTCCGCTCTTACTTCGAGAGAAAAGCCGGACAAAACCATTACGGTTTCTGGCAGAGGTACTATTAGCAGATGAAGTTGATGATGATGAAGATGCTGGTGATTCCCCTTCAATCCCATTCGTTGAGAGGCTAGAAGTATATGCTGGTGTTCTGGAAGGATCTGATTCATATTTAGGCACAAATGCATCATTTGCACGCGCCTTCCACTCTGCAGCGGACCCAGGAACCATTGCTTTGTTCCCAGAAAAACCTGGCAGGTTTGAAGTGTCTGTTAAGAAATCTTCCAACGTAGCTAGCGACTGAAGCTGCTTTCCAAGGGATGCAATTGTTTGCTGGCATTCTGCAAGTTTATCAGCTGCTACTGCTAGGTCCTCCTGCCATAGACAAGTTGTGCTCAAATGCTTATTATCGCACATTTTAATCTAAATGCACCCAAGAGAGTGCAACAGCTAATGATATAAACGTAACATTTAACGAAATTGGTTTACAAAATTGACATGACAGATTAGTTGAATTTCTTAGTTTCAAATGTGCCAAACTACCATAATGCAAACAAGTTGCTGAATAGTGCCTACCACATCATTCCTTTAAAAAGGCCTTGCCAATCTTTTCTTCTTTGTGATAGTTTTCTTTGCAAGATATGGTTTCACATGAATATTGACGAAAACAGAATGCTACATGCAATAAATGGCCAACCTGCTTTATTTTTAACTCGCTGTTTGAATTTGCTGCTTGCTGAAGCTCAATTTCTTGCGATTTTTTGATAAGCTCATTCTCTAACTCCAGATATTCCATTGCCATTTTGGCTGAAGAACTACGTTCCTTCTGGACTTCAGCCTTTAAAGAATCAACATTTGCTGACAGGGTCCGTGCTTCTACTTCCATACCTATAAGCTGAAACTCAAGCAACTCCTTGGCCTCGTTCACAACACAAAGCTCTTTCTGCAAATCTTCAAGCCTGCTTTCAGTCTCATGAAGTTCTGCTCGTGATGCCGTAAGGGAATCCTCGCTTTCAGTCAAAGCATGCTGTAGTTCAGTTTTCTCTTCTTCAATCTTCTTCAGTCTCTCCTCAAGTTCAGCTACCTTATTTACCATGGTTTCAAGCTCAGGTTTTACCGAGTTCTCTATAGCACTAGACTTGCATGCAATGGGTCCCGATTCAAGTGAAGGAAATTTGCTCTGAGCATCAGGCAATGCAACAAGTCGCTCCATTTCAAGAAAATCATCCATCATATCGATCTCCACTGAGGAGGCTAGAGAATCTTTAGCCAATCCCTTTTCATTTTTAAATTGATCTAGCTCAGCAATGAGAGCTGACGCCCATGAATCTGAGTGGTTTCGCTCCCACTCATTTGGCTCTAATTTCTTGTGAGTATTGTCTATTGAATTGACACGGTCGCCACTGTCAGGTTGACTGTCAGTAACAGACTCCGCACAAACAGAGGAAGCAGTAGACCTGTGATCATAACTTGATGATGATTTGCGAGCAACAGTTTGCAGCCTTCTACACTCAGCCTCAAGCTTGACAACCTTCTTTATGCTTTCTAGTTGCTGCTTGCTAGCTGTTTCTGCAGCTTGGGTGCTCAAGTCCCTCTCAATAGTCCTAATTTCTAACTCTTCAGAACGAGAAAGAAGCTCAAACTTGAGAATTGAGTTTTCTTTCTCCAAAGATTCAAGCTTAAGTTGAATGTTTGGATCTGCAGATGCAGGATAACGAGTTAGTGTAGATTCTACATTAGTTTTTAGCTGGTGTAGCTGGTTCTCAAGTTCAATTTTAACAGATTCCAATTCACTAGTTTTTTGTGCCACAGCATCATTAATTCTTGCCTCCTGCTCATCTCTTGCTTGCCTCAATTCCCTGACACATTCCTTGAGAGCAGAATCAAGATGACTCGCCCGAACTTCCAAAGCCAAGTTCTGATGGACAGCTGCCTCAAGCTGCTGCTTTAAAACTGTCACTTCATTTTCTGCCTTTTCCCAGCCTGGCAGTTAGGTACATGGTAATCACAGAACACAACAAACACAAGTTCAGTTATGGAAAGTTA